GGTCCACATGAGGTCGAAAGGGAGGAGAAGGAAAAAAAAAAAAAAAAAGTCTATTGTGGTTTAATGTCTTTGTTCTAACGAACATTGCGCCGGCAGACAGCACAGAGAAACTTACGAATATATGTTTTAGTGTTTAATTTTTGTCTTGGTGATTATTGTGCCGCATCCTTTCAAGGTGCTTTATTTTAGCACCGGAACACATTGGGCCACCACAATTCCGCCTTGACAAATCTTTTACATAGATATAAATATTTCTGAATCTTGTTTTGGCCAGGCCAGAGGAAAATTTAAGAAATATTGGTATCGATCTCTCAATAAAATATAATCTCATACATAATATACTCATTCTACAAAGTCAACTAAGGATACATTATTTGATTATAATTATAAAAAGACATAGACTGTATAGAGTCTCCTGCATATAATAATACAGTCATAGATTTTGTGTAACGGTTTCGCATTATTTATAATTACACGCTTTATTCTCAAACGGTCATATTTATTTTCGAACTCGTAGTGTACAACGTGTGAAATATAGTGTGAAGAAAACTGAAGAAAATTTCAGATTCAAATTCAGTGGAATAAAATACATAAAAATCATACTCAATATGAATCCAAAAAATTGTTTTCATCTCGATAATTTCGATTTTTCATGATTTATTGCAATTTTTGATTTTTTTGCTATTTTTCAAATGTTGATGACTCAACGGGCTAATTAACGTTCAGATTCAGTTTCAGTAAATTGAAATACATAAAAATCATACTTGATTAGGGTACACAAAATTTTTTTCATCGCTGTGATTGCAGTTTTTTGCAATTTTTTGTTTTTTTGCATTTTACTCAAATCTGAAGGGCGACCGGGCCAAACGGACTTCAAATTCGGATTCAACTTTTTTTTTTTTGTGTGTGCCGGTGTAATTAAAGGAAACATAGTGATAACATAAATAATAAAACATAAATAATACATAGATGGCACCATAGATTACACCTCCCCCTCAGAGGTCTCTATTCTGGGGAGTATGTAGACAACTTAATACTATGAAAAATGTTTGATATTTTAGCTTCGATGCGAAGCTGAGAAGGTATTAGTTTTACTAAGATGTGTTTTTTTTTTTTTTTTTTTTTTTTTTTTTTTTTT